CACCCTCCACACAGGTGAGATTGGTGACCATGGGGGTCCTCCACCACCCTCCACACAGGTGAGATTGGTGACCATGGGGGTCCTCCACCCTCCACACAGGTGAGAGTGGTGACCATGTGGGTCCTCCACCACCCTCCACACAGGTGAGAGTGGTGACCATGGGGGTCCTCCACCACCCTCCACACAGGTGAGAGTGGTGACCATGGGGGTCCTCCACCCTCCACACAGGTGAGAGTGGTGACCATGGGGGTCCTCCACCACCCTCCACACAGGTGAGAGTGGTGACCATGGGGTCCTCCACCCTCCACACAGGTGAGATTGGTGACCATGGGGGTCCTCCACCACCCTCCACACAGGTGAGAGTGGTGACCATGGGGGTCCTCCACCACCCTCCACACAGGTGAGAGTGGTGACCATGGGGGTCCTCCACCCTCCACACAGGTGAGATTGGTGACCATGGGGGTCCTCCACCACAATCCACACAGGTGAGATTGGTGACCATGGGGGTCCTCCACCACCCTCCACACAGGTGAGAGTGGTGACCATGTGGGTCCTCCACCACCCTCCACACAGGTGAGAGTGGTGACCATGGGGGTCCTCCACCACCCTCCACACAGGTGAGAGTGGTGACCATGGGGGTCCTCCACCCTTCACACAGGTGAGAGTGGTGACCATGGGGGTCCTCCACCACCCTCCACACAGGTGAGATTGGTGACCATGGGGGTCCTCCACCACCCTCCACACAGGTGAGAGTGGTGACCATGGGGGTCCTCCACCACCCTCCACACAGGTGAGAGTGGTGACCATGGGGGTCCTCCACCACCCTCCACACAGGTGAGATTGGTGACCATGGGGGTCCTCCACCACCCTCCACACAGGTGAGAGTGGTGACCATGGGGGTCCTCCACCCTCCACACAGGTGAGAGTGGTGACCATGGGGGTCCTCCACCACCCTCCACACAGGTGAGAGTGGTGACCATGGGGGTCCTCCACCCTCCACACAGGTGAGAGTGGTGACCATGGGGGTCCTCCACCACCCTCCACACAGGTGAGAGTGGTGACCATGGGGGTCCTCCACCCTCCACACAGGTGAGATTGGTGACCATGGGGGTCCTCCACCACCCTCCACACAGGTGAGAGTGGTGACCATGGGGGTCCTCCACCACCCTCCACACAGGTGAGAGTGGTGACCATGGGGGTCCTCCACCCTCCACACAGGTGAGATTGGTGACCATGGGGGTCCTCCACCACCCTCCACACAGGTGAGATTGGTGACCATGGGGGTCCTCCACCCTCCACACAGGTGAGAGTGGTGACCATGTGGGTCCTCCACCACCCTCCACACAGGTGAGAGTGGTGACCATGGGGGTCCTCCACCACCCTCCACACAGGTGAGAGTGGTGACCATGGGGGTCCTCCACCCTCCACACAGGTGAGAGTGGTGACCATGGGGGTCCTCCACCACCCTCCACACAGGTGAGAGTGGTGACCATGGGGGTCCTCCACCCTCCACACAGGTGAGATTGGTGACCATGGGGGTCCTCCACCACCCTCCACACAGGTGAGAGTGGTGACCATGGGGGTCCTCCACCACCCTCCACACAGGTGAGAGTGGTGACCATGGGGGTCCTCCACCCTCCACACAGGTGAGATTGGTGACCATGGGGGTCCTCCACCACAATCCACACAGGTGAGATTGGTGACCATGGGGGTCCTCCACCACCCTCCACACAGGTGAGAGTGGTGACCATGTGGGTCCTCCACCACCCTCCACACAGGTGAGAGTGGTGACCATGGGGGTCCTCCACCACCCTCCACACAGGTGAGAGTGGTGACCATGGGGGTCCTCCACCCTTCACACAGGTGAGAGTGGTGACCATGGGGGTCCTCCACCAACCTCCACACAGGTGAGATTAGTGACCATGGGGGTCCTCCACCACCCTCCACACAGGTGAGAGTGGTGACCATGGGGGTCCTCCACCACCCTCCACACAGGTGAGAGTGGTGACCATGGGGGTCCTCCACCACCCTCCACACAGGTGAGATTGGTGACCATGGGGGTCCTCCACCACCCTCCACACAGGTGAGAGTGGTGACCATGGGGGTCCTCCACCCTCCACACAGGTGAGAGTGGTGACCATGGGGGTCCTCCACCACCCTCCACACAGGTGAGAGTGGTGACCATGGGGGTCCTCCACCCTCCACACAGGTGAGAGTGGTGACCATGGGGGTCCTCCACCACCCTCCACACAGGTGAGAGTGGTGACCATGGGGGTCCTCCACCCTCCACACAGGTGAGATTGGTGACCATGGGGGTCCTCCACCACCCTCCACACAGGTGAGAGTGGTGACCATGGGGGTCCTCCACCACCCTCCACACAGGTGAGAGTGGTGACCATGGGGGTCCTCCACCCTCCACACAGGTGAGATTGGTGACCATGGGGGTCCTCCACCACCCTCCACACAGGTGAGATTGGTGACCATGGGGGTCCTCCACCACCCTCCACACAGGTGAGAGTGGTGACCATGTGGGTCCTCCACCACCCTCCACACAGGTGAGAGTGGTGACCATGGGGGTCCTCCACCACCCTCCACACAGGTGAGAGTGGTGACCATGGGGGTCCTCCACCCTCCACACAGGTGAGAGTGGTGACCATGGGGGTCCTCCACCACCCTCCACACAGGTGAGATTGGTGACCATGGGGGTCCTCCACCACCCTCCACACAGGTGAGAGTGGTGACCATGGGGGTCCTCCACCACCCTCCACACAGGTGAGAGTGGTGACCATGGGGGTCCTCCACCACCCTCCACACAGGTGAGATTGGTGACCATGGGGGTCCTCCACCACCCTCCACACAGGTGAGAGTGGTGACCATGGGGGTCCTCCACCCTCCACACAGGTGAGAGTGGTGACCATGGGGGTCCTCCACCACCCTCCACACAGGTGAGAGTGGTGACCATGGGGGTCCTCCACCCTCCACACAGGTGAGAGTGGTGACCATGGGTCCTCCACACAGGTGAGAGTGGTGACCATGGGTCCTCCACACAGGTGAGAGTGGTGACCATGGAGGTCCTCCACCACCCTCCACACAGGTGAGAGTGGTGACCATGGGGGTCCTCCACCCTCCACACAGGTGAGAGTGGTGATCATGGGGGTCCTCCACCCTCCACACAGGTGAGAGTGGTGACCATGGGTCCTCCACCACCCTCCACACAGATGAGAGTGGTGACCATGGGTCCTCCACCATTCACACAGGTGAGAGTGGTGATCATGGGGGTCCTCCACCACCCTCCACACAGGTGAGAGTGGTGACCATGGGTCCTCCACCACCCTCCACACAGGTGAGAGTGGTGACCATGGGTCCTCCACCACCCTCCACACAAGTGAGAGAGGTGACCATGGGTCCTCCACCACCCTCCACACAGGTGAGAGTGGTGACCATGGGGGTCCTCCACCCTCCACACAGGTGAGAGTGGTGACCATGGGG